TCCGAGGACCTCCGGCACTGCGCACAGTGGGACAGAAGACCGGTGGAGGCGGCCAAAATTCTGGACGCGTTTTGAGCTCCAGAGTCGCTAAATTGGACTCGAACCGAGCGTAAGACCCCACCAAAGGATTGCTCTTCGAACGAGGAATCCATTGGTGGGGTCACTCGTTCGGTTCGAGTCCTGTTTGGCGACCCTGGAGCTCAAAACGCGTCTAGAATTTTGGCCGCCTCCACCGGTCTTCTGGCCCACTGTGCTGCAGCGCCCTCCCGGACCACGACACGCTGTCTCTCTCGCACCCTCACGGGACGCCCTGCGAGTGCGAGGGAGACAGCAAAGACGGGGATCCCCGGCGTCATTACAAACCGGCAGCCTAATCATGTGGCGGACGCGGCGGGCAGCAAAGCAACCAACACCGCGGTGGCGGTAGGCTCGATTCGTCGCTCTGTCTCTCTCGCACTCAAGGGCCGTGCCGTAGGGGTGCGAGAGAGACAGCGCGACGGCGAAACGATCGTTCGGCGTGAGCCGAAATAACGCGCGCATCACGCGGCGACAGTGGCGTGGCACGGCGTGGCACGGCGTGGCGGCCGCGGTTCTCCCCACGACGCGGCGACAGTGGCATGACCGCGGGGCCGCGAGACTGCGTGACTAGGGGCGTGACGCGTGCGTGGGCTGCCGGCTGAATCACACCATCACACACGCGCGTGTGTCTGCGGCGGCGTCGCGGCGTGGCGGCGGCGTGGCCGAGCCCTTCCCCCTCCCCCCTCGCGCGGAGAAGACGAGTCAAATGTCGCCGCCACTTCCTCTCTGATTCACCAGGAGCCCGGCCGGCCGGTCGCGCTGTCTCTCTCGCACCCTCGCGGGGGACGCCCCGTGTGCGAGAGAGACGGCACGCCGCCAAGTGGAGTGACTCAACGACCCGACGGACCGACGCACCGGAAGTACGGACGTACCATCGCGGCATCGCGGCGTGGGAAAAGGACCGCATCGCCTGGCGTTGCCTCAAACCGACAAGACTTTTCCATTTTTTCGCGGGGGGTCGCTGTAATTTGCCTTCGCCGGCAGCAGCGCGCTGCTCGTTTAGCCAGCCCCGCTGCACAGTGCGGTAGAAGACCGGCGCCGGCGGCCAAAACTCCAGACGCGTTTTGAGCTCCAGAGTCGCGAAACAGGGCTCGAACCGAACGTGTGACCCCACCAATGGATTGCTCTCCGAACGACGAATCCATTGGTGGGGTCACACGTTCGGCTCGAGCCCTGTTTAGCGACTCTGGAGCTCAAAACGCGTTTTGGCCGCCGGCGCCGGTCTTCTGGCCCACTGTGCGCTGCCTCGCGGCGTGGCGGCCGTGGAGGCCGTGAACGTGAACCACTTGGAGGTGGCCGTCAGCGTCCGGGGCCGACGGCCATCGCGCGCACTGCTGCGCTGCAGCGCACTGCACGACGTGTGATATCGAGATATCGAATCGAGGTATCGGCGGGCAGCGATTTACTGTTGGCACTGGCGTGGCACGGCCAGGCACTGCCCACGCTGGCGCCGGCCCGACTTGCCGCGCTCCCGTTTAATGCTTGCTATATTGCAAAGGCCTGTTTACCCTGGCGTCCGTACTGCGTAGCGCGTAGCTACGGCGTGGCCACGGTGTGGCCGACTGATCCCGCACAGCTCGCTCTACATACATATCTCTCTCGCACCCCTGGCGGAAGGCATGGCGGAAAGCCCCCCCAGTGCGAGAGAGACGGGCAGGTGCGGCGCTAGACTACCGGTGTAGTGGCGGACGGCCTCGCGCGCCTCGCGCCGAGCCTCGCGCCTCACCGCGGCCACCGTGCTCTTGTTTTTCCACTCCGTGGTGCAGGTTAGGTTAGGTACACTCTAAATATGGGGTGACAAAGGCGCCCAGTTTCTGGACAGCCTACATTTAGAGTGTAGTGTTTGTATGGGATTTCTAAGTCTAGGCTAGGCCAGGGTTTTCTTCTTTTCTTCCTTTTTAGCGTGTGGTGCCTGTGTCGGGTCGTCCAGCGTCTGCGTGAATAAGGGTTTGGGCGGTTCCGGTAGGTTAGGTCAGGCTAGGCTCGCTCCAGACTCGCACTGCACAGTGGCCCAGAAGACCGGTGTGACCCCATCAATGGACTGCTCTCCGAACGAGGAATCCATTGGTGGGGTCGCACGTTCGGTTCGAGTCCCATTTAGCGACTCTGGAGCTCAAAACGCGTCTAGAATTTTGGCCGCCTCATCGGTCTTCTGGCCCACTGTGCGCTGGGCGCTGGGCTCGTGCCGCGGTGGCCGCGGTGGCGCGTGTGCAGTGTAAAGGGGCCCGTGCACTCCGTGCTCGATACGTACCCGCGATCTCGGCGATACGGCCGCTGCAGCGACTGATTCCGAGAGTCGTTTTCGTCGCTCTGTCTCTCTCGCACCTGCACGGGGCGCCCCATGAGTGCGAGAGAGACAGAGCGACGAAGACGACTCTCAGTGTGCAGGGCGCGCTGGGCCCAGACCACTGCATATGAAGACGTTGGGCTGGAGCCGATGCCAAGGCGTTGTTGCCGAGTACAAGTGTGACCCTGATAGATCGATAGTTTCGATAGTCTCGATCTAGGCGTGCGATCTCTCGCTCCCGCTCGAACTCTCACCTACAACACGCCGCTACCATGCTTCTGCTACCACGACACTGTCGCGACAAGGTTTTCATTCCATGCGTTTCTTGTACTGGCAGAGATCGGTTTATTCATGAGGATTTTGTTTCTCAGAATCTGGGGTGATTTCTTTTCAAATTTAGTAGTGTTGTTTTCCTGCTCGCAGGCAAAAACGCACCCGAAAAATGTTTTGCTTCGTAACTGTCTGTACTGTGCGTATTGCACACACAGTCCAACACGCACACACGCACGCTCGCACTCACACACGCGCGGGTTCGTGTCCCTCCGTCGCAATAACTGGTTTTAATCGATTTGCCCGCGATGGTCAATCCGATGCATTCCCCCCAATAAATCAAACCAGAAAACTCGTTTGCCATGTCAATCGCCCTTATTTTTTTTGTCTGTTCTATTTCATTTTTCTTTTTTCGGAGAAAATTAATCCGAGTTGAAGTATTTAATTGTCAAAAGTCAGAGAGAAATTCAAAGACAGAATTTTGTTTTGAACGGGCAGCGCCCTCCCTTTCCACACACACAGAATCCTGCTGCATCCCGCATGGCGGTGCAGTGTCGCAGTGTGGTGGCAGTGCAACCGCACAAAACCCTAAACCCCTTGCCGCTGGCGCGGTGGCCGTTGCCAAGACGCGGCCAAGCGCGGCGGGTGGAGGGGCAGAGCCGGGCAGAGGGGCAGAGCCAAAGCCAAGCGGCGAGGGTGCGACAGCGTCTCGAATGTCTCCAAACCATCCCAATAATGTCCCTGGAAACACGTCCGAGCCGAGCCGAGCCGAGCCGAGCCGCCTTTCGCGCCGTTTCGACGTTTTGCAACGCCGCCGGCTCAGCCAATGCAGCCAATGCAGCCAATCAGGCGACTGCTGGTCTGGGCACACTGGGCTGGGCCTCCGGTCTCCAGCGACCACTAAAGGTCGTCGAAGAATGCAACACTGCTGCACCCAGCCGAGGCGGCGCCACGCCACTGTCGCATTCCTCCCGAAACCTGAAATAATCAGCATTGCTGGCCGTCTCTCTCGCACTCGCGGGGCCTCCCGCAGGGGTGCGAGAGAGACGGAGTGAATGCCACAACGACGACGCGGCCGGCAGACACTGATTCCGAGTGTCTCTCTCTCCCTCGCACTCATGCGGCGTCCGGTACGGGTGCGAGCGGTGCGAGAGAGACAGACCGATGGGGGAGCCGCCAACGGGCACCTGTTGCACCAGCCACCCCGCCCCCAGACAGGCCGCCAGGCCGGCAGGCCGCGCACCGCGCACAGGTGGGGGCGGTGGCCAACCCGGCCAACCCCGCCAACCCCCAAGCAGCCACAGCGCTGCTGCTGGACAAGCTGGACAAGCTGGCGCTCATTCCAAACAGTGCCCCCGTCGCTCTGTCTCTCTCGCACGCGTCGAGGGTGGCAGTGCGAGAGAGACAGAGCGGACGAAGCCGCCGATTGAGACCTCACTGACTCAACAGCCGCCGGCAAGGCACGCAATTTGAGCGCGTTATTCGGACTTTGTCGAGACGCCGGGCGACTTCCCGGAACACGGTGCCCCTTTGGGCCCTACCGGCCCCACCGGCCCTTCCAGTGCCTTCCAGCTCCGCGGGCCCTACCGGCCCTACCCCATACAAACTGGACAATGGAGCAATGAGTCACCACCGTCCACTTAGCGCCCCCCCCCCTTTTCCCGTGACTTCCCTGGAATGCGGCCCGGGCAAGGCCAAGGCGGAGGCAGGGGCGGGCCCGGGGGCGGGGGAGGACCACGTCGACGGCACCGAGAAGAGAACCCCCAATGGAAAACTCTTGTCGGTTACCTTGGTTACCTGCTGTGCGGGGCGGAGTGGCACAGAGTGGCGGGCCGCCGGCAGAGGCGCCTCATATCACCGGCCCACCACACTGTCGGTCGGCCCTCCCGCCCACACACGAGCCGGCCGCAGTGGGCCGCAGTGGCCCACCCTCAGAGCCGACCGCGGCCGCCGCCCTCCGAGCCAGCGGGGCCCAGCGGGGCTGGCTGACCAGCGGCCCGCCGGCGGCAGTGTGGCGGCAGTGTGGCGGCACGGCAGACCGCCGCAGACTGGCAGACTCCCGTCCGCCAGATAAATAAATAAATAAACAATGCGGTGCATAAATAAGGCGCAAAATGAATGAATGGGCTGGTTAACGAGGGCGGAGGGACCCCCGCGGAGGTCCTTGGGCCCCACCGACCCCACCGGCCCCACCGGCCCCACCAGGTCCCACAGGGGGCGCGACACGGACCCGCCAGGCCCCGCCACACGCAAACGCGCGCGCGCACACACACACACACACACACACACACACACACGCGCGCGCGCACACACACACACACATTCGCACACTGGCACTCATCGGCAACTTGTGTTCTGTTCGCAGGAGAGCGGCAGCCCTGCAACGAGGAGGGCGAGGCGGTGCACGTGGACAGCATCAAGGACATGCGCTGCTTCTCCTGCATGTGCAAGGTAAAGTCAAACAGCGTGGAAACCGCGGAACACTTTGTATAAACGGCGGCCGGTCTCGCCGGGGGAAGGGGGAGGGGGAGGGGGGTTTCCCAGTGTAGTGGCAGCATTTCCCCGCCGAGAGCGTTTTCTTCGACCCATGAGCGTTTTCCCGCCAAGAGCATTTCATTGGCCAGAGGCTATTTTTTCCACGAAGAACATTTCTTCGATCCAAGAGTATTTTTCCGCCGAAAGCATTTCTTCAACTCAAGACCGTTTTTTCCCACCGAGCGCATGTCTTCGGGCCGTGGTGAGGGCGAGTGAGGTCCGGACGGAGTACACCCCACCCCTCCCCACGCAGGCGATCAAGCTCTCCCCCAAGAGCTCCCTGCTCCACACCTCAGCCGTCGTATCGGCGTCATGCCGCTCCATTTTCAGCATTCCACCTATAAAGCACCCCCCGTTCCTAAGTACCCCATCCATCCTCATTGACGCCACTTTATCTCGGGGGGCTCTTTTTGTTTCTTTTTCGTCGAGATGCCAGGAAACGACGTGCAGAGGGCTCTCTTGTTTTATTGAGGTGTGTGTGTGTGTGTTTGTCCGAGAGAGAGTGAGAGGGGGGGAGAGGGGGGAGAGAGAGGGGAGAGAGAGAGAGAGAGAGGGAGAGAGAGAGAGAGAGAGAGAGAGAGAGAGAGAGAGAGAGAGAGAGAGAGAGAGAGAGAGAGAGAGAGAGAGAGAGAGAGGGGGGAGGGAGAGAGAGAGAGAGCACACTGTCTCATTCCGCGAGCAGGCTGGCGCAGGCTGGCCATCGTCACGCGTCACGACTCGTCACGTTGGCCAACAGACAAAGGGGCGCCGCGGCCCTGCCGCCCTGCCGCCCTGCCCCCTGCACTGCCCTGCGCGGTTCGGTTCGGCTCGGCCGAGAGTGAAACCTGATGATCGGTCCGCCGCCCCGCCCAGGCGATCCCGACATCCCGACCCGAGAGGCCGAGAAGAGAGGTTGCGTTCGGGAAAGGGCCGAATGGACGTCGGTCGGGCCGAGTGGGTGCACAGTGGGCCAGAAAACCGGTGGAGGCGGCAAAAATTCTAGACGCGTTTTTAGCTCCAGAGTGACTAAGTGGGACTCGAACCGAACGTGTGACCCCACCAATGGATTGCTCTCCCAACGAAGAATCCATTGGTGGGGTCACACGTTCGATTCGAGTTCGACTCTGAAGCTCAAAACGCGTCTAGAATTTTTGCCGCCTCCACCGGTCTTCTGGCCCACTGTGGGGCGCTGCCGCGGCTGCCGGGTCTGCGTGCTGCACCTCGAGCGACGGCCGCCGGGCCGACGGGGAGGAACAAGGACGTGACGCGGGAGGTACGAAGATCCGAAGACAGCCGGCGAGCCAGCGCGCTGATTGAGTCTTGCCGTGCAGCACTGTGTTTGTTTTTCCCGCCGCGGCGTTGCGCGAGTTCCCGCCAAAACGGGCCGCTGCGATTGGTGCGTTTACTTTGCGCGGGGAAAGCCGCGGAAAAGCCGCGGAAAAGCTAGGGAAAGCCAAGGGCGCGGAAGCACCGAGACGCCGGGACGCTAGTCGCACCCACTGTGAGAACAGAGCGCCGCCGTCCACGTCCACGACGGCCCGGTGCACAGTGGGCCAGAAGACCGATGGAGGCGGCCAAAACTCTTGGCGCGTTTTGAGCTCCAGAGTCGCTAAATGGGACTCGAACCGAACATGTGACCCCACCAAATGGATTCCTTGTTCGGAGAGCAATCCATTTGTGGAGTCACACGTTCGATTCGAGTCCCATTTAGCGACTCAGGAGCTCAAAACGCGCCAAGAGTTTTGGCCGCCTCCACCGGTCTTCTGGCCCACTGTGCGACGGCCCGGTGACCGCGGCCCGGGCGGCGTGTTTTGAGAATGATAGAAATCAGCTGCCACTCGCGTCGGTCGTGTCTCGCGTCCCTTCGGATCCCTTCGGATTTCGGAGCAAACCCGCAAAGGCTCTCAGGCTCGGTGGGTGGTCAAGCCGTTTACGAGTGGATCCTCCGCCGCCCCGCTGCCCCGCCGCTCTCGGCGCTGTGTGTTTTAGGAAGGCGGCATTCTCCGTCTTTATCTGGGCACCGCCATGGCTTCTCGGAAAGCGGCTTGCAGTACAAAGTACGAAACGACGAAACGAAACCAACATGACTTTTTAAAGTCGACCGCCGCTCCGTAGGTGGCTGGAGCGCGGCAGTGAGGCAGCAAGGCAGCGGCAGCGAGCTAGAGGCCGTGCGTCTTTACTGCTTACATTAAGCTAAGTGGTTCCCTGGTTCCGTGAACCCGTGTCGTCCTTGTTTGTTTAGCCGGCGTCACCTTGCCACTGCCTTGGTGCTGCCTGCCTCGGCGCCTTGGCACGCACGCCGTCCTGGAGGCCCTGGAGGCCCTAAAGGCCCTGGAGGCCCTGGAGGCCCTGGAGGCCCTGGAGGCCCTGGAGGCCCTGGAGGCCCTGGAGGCCCTGGAGAAGGTGTGGGCCCCGGGCCGTAGTTCCATATAGAGGGCGGGCCTGGACGGCCAGGGAAGGGCATTGGCTACGCCTCCATAGCTTTATGATTGCTCCAGGGTTGCTCCAGCATGGCCCCAGGATGGCTCCAGGATGGCTCCAGGGTGGCTCCAGAATGGCTCCAGGGTGGCTCCAGGGTGGCTCCAGGGTGGCTCCAGGATGGCTCCAGGGTGGCTCCAGGGTGGCTCCAGGGTGGCTCCAGGGTGGCTCCAGAGTGGCTCCAGGATGGCTCCAGGGTGGCTCCAGGATGGCTCCAGGATGGCTCCGGTACGCGCTCGGGCTTGCCGCGCGGACGGCGCGGTCATCGGCGACGTGCATCCGCACTTGCATCTCGTGCTGTGCCTGCTGTGCCGAGGCAAGGCAGGCGAGACTGCGCTGGAAGGCTGGAGAACCCAACCCCCCACCTCCTTGAACGACTCCTCGAACGACTCCGAGGACGAGGCGAGGCCTTGCCGCGGGCGGGGCCAAGGCGGGGCCAAGGCGGGGCAGCGGGCAGCGGCGGGGCTGCTGCCCCACCGAGTCCCGGTTACCGAGTCGCCGAGTCGGCGCGGCGCGGCGCGGCGCGGAACCCCTGCTGCCTGAGTGCCTGCTCGGCCTGCTCGCCGAACCAGGGCGATTCTGTTTGTAAAATTTGGCGTCCTGACCTTCTGGGCGAGGCACGGCTCGGCCACGGCACGGCCACGGCACGGCCGGGCTCGGCCACGCCAAGGTGGAGCAGCCCCTCCACTCCAGGCCTCCGGGCCGCCTCCAGGCCGCCTCCAGGCCGCCTCCAGGCACCACATCTCACATCTCGCGAGATGTCAGCCTGGAAAGATATTTATACTCGCCCACCTGCCCGCCTGCCCGCCTGCCTGCCCTGCCGCCGGCGGACCAGCCAACCTCACCGACCGGCCTGCCGGCCTGCCGGCCCCGAGTGCTCAAATTACCACGCGCCGAATAATAAAACCGGAACCGGAACCAAAACGAAATTCATCCGCTGTTTTGTGTGGAGCCGGGCCGGGCCGCCTGCCTGGAGGCTGCCTGCCTGAAGCGGATCAATCTGGTCGACCGGCCGGCCTCCCCGGCCGTTTTAACAAACATAAATAAAAGAAAGTAACTTCGCTGTACGGAGGGTGTGTACACACTGTGTACGCGGGCCGCGAGGTGGCCGTCGCTCGGAAACTGCGCGCCTGCCTTGCCGCTCCAGCGCCGCTCCAGCGTGTTCGCGTCGGCGCGGCTGGAGGCTGTGACGCTGGAGCTGCGTTTCGTCTGGGCTCCAGGAAAACAGCAGAGTCGTAGCGTGGGCCCTATCCCCGGCTCCCTAGAACGATTCCAGACTGTTCCAGCGGCAAGGGTGGCAACCTAGGGCAACCCTCGTCCTGCACCGGCTCGCTCGCTGCCCGCCCGGCCCCGCCCCGCCCCGCCCCGCCCGGCTGGAGTAGCCAGCGTGTGCCTTGGCATGCAGTCAAGCCGGTCCCCCGCGCCCCCGCCCGCCCCCGCGCCCCGCGCGCCCCGCGCCGCCTCTGTGGCCACGTCTCTCGATCCGATCACCGCACTGCCTGCCTGGCTGCCGGGCCGAGCCCGCAACGAGTTAGCACAGCTACACATCGTACACACCTGTTGCAGGCGGCAGCGAGGCAGCGCGCCGACCTCCAGCAAAGCCCAGCCAAGCCCAGCAAAGCCCAGTCCGTCCCGTGTCCAGTCCGCCACGTCGGCCAAATGACCGGCGCAGGCGGCCAAAACTCTAGACGCTTTGAGCTCTTTGAGCTCCAGAGTCGCTGAGCAGGACTCGAACCGAACGTGTGACCCCATCAATGGATTCCTTGTTCGGGGAGCAATCCATTAATGGGGTCACACGTTCGGTTCGAGTCCTTTTAGCGACTCTGGGGCTCAAAACGCGTCTAGAGTTTTGGCCGCCTGCGCCGGTCTTCTGGCCCACTGTGCACCAGTCCGCGGACTAGCGCGGTTCGCGTCGCTGGCGTCGTGGCGTCGTTGGCGTCGTTGGCGTCGTTGGCGTTCTCCGGACGAGCCGGACGGACGTCTCTCAATCAATAAATCAAAACGCCGCCCAAAATAAGCTCGCCCGCTCGGCGTTGCTCCGCGTTCTCCGCGGTGCTCCCCGGACCACCTGGCCGGCGACCTTGCCCGGCTTGCCCGGCGCGGGGTACGCGACCCGCGGAGATGCCTTATCATCACCGGGCGCCCGGCGCCCTGGCCGGGCTGGCAGGCGGCAAGGACCCACGAATCCGTTCTCATCTGGCCGCACAGTGGGCCAGAAGACCGGTGGAGGCGTCCAAAACTCAAGACGCGTTTTGAGCTCCAGAGGCGGTAAATGGGACCCGAATCGAACGTGTGACCCGACCAATGGTTTGCTCTCCGAACGAGGATTCCATTGATGGGGTCACACGTTCGATTCGAGTCCCATTTAGCGACTCTGGAGCTCAAAACGCGTCTAGAGTTTTGGCCGCCTCTACCCGTCTTCTGGCCCACTGTGGGCCGCCCGGACCGCGCAGTGCGCCAATTTGAAACCAGGACTAGTCGTAAACTGGCTCGGCAACGCAGTTCGGAACGCAGTTCGGAACGCCTCTCGTTTTCCGATCGGCAAGTCGAGGTGGCGCGCCTATTCGGCCTGGGAGATTCATCAGTCTGGCCGACGCGCCGCGGCGCCAGGCAGTGCCGTGGCAGTGCCCTGCCGGCTGACTCCGAACACGTCGCTCTGTCTCGCTCGCACTCGTAGGGCCTTAGCGGACGCCCCACGAGTGCGAGAGAGACGGAAGCAGCCCGCCGGCAGCCTGGAAGCGTTCTGAAAACAGCTGTCTCTGTCACGTCGTCGCGTCGCGACCAGCCATCCTGCAAGCGGAAAATTTCTCCACCAAAACAGACGCGCGCGTGGCGCCAGCCCGGCCGCCTTCGAAAAAAAAAAAAAAAAACAGTGGCGCTTTTATTTTAATTGGTTTCTGTTTGTTTCCAGAATGGCTTCGTTGAGTGCCTGCAGGAGTCCTGCCCGGCCCAGCAGGGCTGCTACCTACTGCTCGCGACACCACGCGACTCCTGCTGCAACGTCTGCAAAGGTAGGTTTGTTGAGGCTCAGTTAGATTTAGTTAGGTTAGGTTACGTTTAGTTAGGTTAGGTTGATTTGGCCCATTGGAAATAAAGAATCAGTCGAGGGGGTATGCACTCGCGTAATAGTCGGTTCACTCTATCTGTAATAGCACGCGTAATAATACGCGTAATAGTCGCGTTATAGCAGAAATTGTCAAAATTTGATCAATTTTGGTGTGTTTTAGGCAGTTTTTAGCCAAATTCCGATTAATTTGTGGCGTAATAGAGCGTAATAGCGTAATAGTCGGTACACAGGTTCAGAGAGCGCATACCCCCTCGGAATCAGTACTACTGTGTCTGCGCGATTCTCCGACTCTGTGACGCTGGTATTGCCTTTCCTTTCCTTCGGAAGGCCCTCGCGGCGCCTCGCGGAATTCGCCTTATCTTCCGGATAGTGATGGCGTTGGCAGGTCGACTGCTGTCGACCCGAACCACCCGAACCAGACACGTGATAGTAGTCTGAGGGGGGAGGGGGGCGTCTGGAATCCCGAGAGAATCCGGGCAGCGGGTATCCGGTCCTGCCAAACTCCCCGGTAGGTCGTCGCGTTCGTCCTCGACGAGAATGTCGCCCTGCACAGCGATTCGACGCCGTCTCTCTCCCACCGGTGCGGGGCGCCGCGCGAGTGCGAGAGAGACGGACGCACTGCGCCGCGAGACGCGTTTTGTTTTGTTCGGCGTGCGAGCGGACGGCGTCCCCGAGCCACGTAACGCCGGGCTGCATTCCGGCCTCCGCGGGCGACGTCCGCGACGTCAGAAATGTTAAAAACGCGGGAAAGGCAAGAGCGCCCCGTTGCACAGTGGGCCAGAAGACCGGCGGAGGCGGCCAAAACTCTAGACGCGTTTTGAGCTCCAGAGTCGCTAAACAGGACTCGAACCGAACGTGTGACCCCACCAATGGATTCCTCGTTCAGAGAGCAATCCATTGATGGGGTCACACGTTTGGTTCGAGTCTTACTTAGCGACTCCGGAGCTCGAAACGCGTCCAGAGTTTTGGCCGCCTCCGCCGGTCTTCTGGCCCACTGTGCGTTGGTTGGCTGTCGTTGGCAGGCGCGGCGCCGCGCGGTGCTTAGTGACTGGTCAGTCTCCGACCGGAACCTCGGCGGCCTGGCCTGGCCACGCCGTGCTGGCCGTGCTGGCCGGGCCCTCGAGCTGGCTGGCGCGCTGGCGCGCTGGCGCGCAGGCACTGGCGCCGGCCGGGCGGCTCCACGGCGGCTCGCAGCAGGTCCAGGCTGTCCAGGCCTCCGGGCCTCCAGGCCGCGGCGCGTGGCGGCGGCGCGTGCGTGGGTAGGGGCAGCGGGCAGGCGGGGCGGACGGGGCAGCCAACCCAAAGCCGCAGGGGCAGGCCCGCAGGTCGTCAGTCCGGCGGCAGTCCACAGGTCCGGCAGGGACATGTTCACCTGGCAGCGCCTGGCAGCCCGGCCGCGCCGTGAAATATGCCGGCCGACGCTCGTAACCAAGCGCCAGACTGATTCCGCTCGTCGCTCTGTCTCTCTCGCAGCGCCCGCAGCCACGCGGCACGGCCCGTGAGTGCGAGGGAGACAGAGCGACGGCGAGGATAGGACGGCGGCGCGTGGCGCGTGGCCCGTCGTCGAGCGCCTGCGGGCAGCGGGGTAGGCAACCGTGACCGCCGTGAGGAGCGGGTGGCCTACCCCGGAGTGCGCGGGCGCTCCGCCGACTGGAGGACTAGGGGGACTAGGGGGAAGACTATGGATAGCGAGGACTAGGGGGAAGACTGAGGACTGGGGACGCGGGGACTAGGGGGAAGACTGAGGACTGGGAGGACTAGGGGGAGGACTGAGGACTGGAAGGACTAGGGGGATGTCTGAGGACTGGCAGGACTAGGGGGAAGACTGAGGACTGGGGACTGCGAGGACTAGGGGAAGACTTGGGACTGAGGACTGGGAGAACTAGGGGGAAGACTGAGACTGGGAGGACTAGAGGGAAGACTGGGAGGACTAGAGGGAAGACTGGGAGGACTAGAGGGAAGACTGAGGACTGAGAGGACTGCGAAGACTGGGCACGCGGAGCGCTATCTCGACGAGTATCGCGACAAAGAATGCGGTTTCGGTTTGAAAGCTGAATCAGATTATCCCGTTCGAATGTGCGCACGTGGCCGCGCCGGCCGTGGACGCGGACGCGGACTCGCGGACACGCGGACGCCGTGGACGCGGACCGGGAATTTATAGGGAGCGCGTCGTATCGCGTCTCCCGGTTTGCTGATCTTCATTAGCCTGCCGTCGCGGTGTCTCTGTCCCTCTCGCACTCGCGGGGCACGGCCGGCGGGGCGCAGGGGCTGGAGAGAGACAGCGACGACGCGTGTCCCGGCGCCCGTTTCCGGAACTACGGCCTCGGGGCCCTGTCGGGGCCCTGTCGGGGCTCGGGGCGCCAGGGTGGCGGGCCACGGCGGGCCACGGCGGGCCACGGCGGGCCCGGGCCCTGGTCACGACACGTCGCGACAAGATGTCCTCTCCTTTCCTTTTCTAATTCCGGTGCCCAACAGGTTGCGACTACCACGGCAAGAGCTACGCCAGCGGCTCCGAGTGGAAGGACCCGGCCAACCCGTGCCGGGTCTTCACGTGCAAGGCGGGGGTGGTGACCGAGTCCGAGGAGGTGTGCTACGTGCCGTGCCCCGCCCACCAGTCCCTGCCGCCGGCACCGTCGCAGTGCTGCCGCACCTGTCCGAGTAAGTCAGCCGCGGGGACAGCGTCAAAGTCACCGGTTCCAAAGGTCGGCGGTTCGAATAGCGATTTTTGATTTATTTTTTGTCGCAGCGTGCCCGATGAGCGACAAGGAGCGCGACCGGGACAGCCGGTCCGTGACGCTGGCGGAGGACCCTTGCGTCAACTGCCAGTGCCGGGGCGGCCGCCTGGCGTGCTCCAAGAAGGCCTGCCCCGTGCTCAACTGCCCGCCGACGCAGATCGAGCAGTTGCCCGGCCAGTGCTGCCCCGTGTGCAAGGGTGAGTCGCGGAGAGCAGTCCCTCCCAACGCAGCACAGTGGGCGCAGGCGGCCAAAACTCTAGGCTCGTTTTGAGCTCCTGAGTCTCTAAATGGGACTCGAACCGAACGTGTGACCCCACCAATGGATTCCTCGTTCGGAGAGCAATCCATTGGTGGGGTCACACGTTCGGTTCGAGCCCCATTTAGCGACTCTGGAGCTCAAAACGCGTCCGGGATTTTGGGCGCCTCCGCCGGTCTTCTGGCCCACTGTGCGCTGTGATTGACATGATTGTCGTCCTCCAGGAAGCCGGCGGCTGCTGTACGAGCCGCCGCTGGGCAGCTGCCTGCTGGGCCTGGAGATCCGGCAGTCCGGGCGGCCCTTCCACGTGGACCGCTGCACGTCGTGCACGTGTGTCAACGGCACCTCGCTGTGCCGGCGGCCTTCCTGCCCCGCCCTGGACTGCCCGGCCGAGCTGCAAGTCACCGAGCCGGGCCAGTGCTGCTCCAGCTGCACGCCCGCCCTCGAGAGCAAGGCCGCCTGCACGCTCAGCGGACAGACCTACCAGGTGAGCTCGCGGACCGCCACGCCCGCCGCGCCCGCCGCGCCGAGCTCGCGAGGGGAGACAACTTTTCACACACTCAACATCTTATGATCGTTTTTATACGTACACCCTTAAAACCTTACGAAGTATTTTGAGCATACGTATATCAAACTAAAATACTTTGTTATACGAAGAAATAGTTCGTAAATTACGAAGTATTTTCTTTGTAAGCTTACGTATGCTCAAAATACTTTGTTATACAAAGTACTTTTCTTTGTAAGGCCCAAAATAGTTTGTAAGGTTTTCTCAGTGTATTACGATGGTTTTTCATCGTAAGGTACGCATAAATTTGCACATACGTAATATGCTTAATTTTTCATCATATTACGCATGAATTTCATTGTATTACGCATGTTTATCATCGTATTACGCATGAATTTCATCGTATTACGCATGAATTTTATCGTATTACGCATGAATTTTACTGTAGTACGTATGTTCTCATTTCAACGTATGTTACGATGGCCCTTTCATCATAAGAATCTGAGGGTGCAATTTCTTCAAAGTGACCCATTCGAAGAACAACAAGATTAAGACTAAAAAGATGGAATAGCAAAATATTTTTACCCGGTTGCTAATTTACGAATGGGAGTCGAACCCAACAGCCCCACACCGGAGACAGTTCACCGGTCGCCCACAATCCTTAGCGTGTGGTGGTCGGAAAATGTCTCGCACTTTGTGGACGGTTTCCTTTGCTGGAGTTACGGAAGTTGAGGCTAGAGTGGGAGTAAAGGATGGTCCGTTCCGCCCCACGTGCGCGGAGTGCAGCCTACCCCGCAGGCTGATTGCGAACAGTGTTGTCATCGCTCTGTCTCTCTCGCACGCATGGACCGCCCCGTCTGAGTGCGAGAGAGTGAGAGAGACCAGAAGCCCTGTCCGGAATGAGTCGGCTGCCGCCGGCCCGGCACTGCAGACTGATTCCGAGAGTCGTTTTCGTCGCTCTGTCTCTCTCGCACCTATAGGGGACGCGACATGAGTGCGAGAGAGACAGAGCGACGAAAACGACTCTCGGAATGAGTCTGCTGCCCCGGCCGGATGCGGGCTGGAGGGACCAGGGCCAGGACGCTATGCACACGACACGCTGATTGGGCTCTGTGTTTGAATTTTGAATACCCTCGTTAGCGTGCAGGGCCGGCGGGGAGAGAGGGGAAGAGGGGGGGGGGGCTCAACAGTCATAGACACGTGATGAAGACGCGCGAAGACGCGGCGGGGAGGGCGGAGCCGCGGAGCCTGCTAAAGGAGTAAAGGAGTCGTTGGCTCTCTCATTGTGTGCCAGCCTGCAGACTGATTCCGAGAGTCGTTTTCGTCGCTGTGTCTCTTTCGCTCTCGTGGGACGACCCGTAAAGGTGCGAGAGAGACAGAGCGACGAAAAGGACTCTCGGAATCGGTCTACAGCAGCCTTACCGGCAAGGGCTTCCAGGTAGTCCGACAGCGACAGAGCAAAGAGACTGAAGAGACTGCGCACCAGTGTGTGGACCGTGCTTAAACAAGGGGACAGCATTTCGGCTACTGTTGTGTGTTGTGACGGTGGTCCCGGCGGTCAGGTGTAGGGAGCCTCGTAGAACCTCTTGTCAGGTGGCACGCCTTGCGATGCCTTGCGCGGTGGCGGGGGTGCCAAGGCGAGGCAAGTTGGGTCGCCTACCCTGACGGCGCACAGTGGGCCAGAAGACCGGTGGCGGCGGCCAAAACTCCAGACGCGTTTTGAGTTCCAGAGTCACTAAACAGGACTCGAACCGAACGTGTGACTCCACTAATGGATTCCTCCTTGGGAGAGCGATCCATTGGTGGGGTCACACGTTCGATTCGAGTCCCACTAAGCGACTCTGGAGCTAAAAACGCGTCTAGCTAGAACTTAAGCCGCCTCCACCGGCCGTCTGGCCCACTGTGCGGCGACACGCGTCTGGGAGACTTGACACGTGTGTGACCCTTTGGTGCTGATGTTCCAGGACGGGCAGCAGTGGCGGCTGGACCCCTGCAAGTGGTGCGTGTGCTCGGGCGGCGTGGCGCGCTGCACGGTGGAGCGCTGCCCGCAGCCCGCGCCGCAGTGCCCGCCGCACCAGCGGCTGCAGCAGGTGGACGGCGAGTGCTGCCCCAAGTGCGTGGACACGGACGGCGTCTGCGCCGTGTTCGGCGACCCGCACTACCGCACGTTCGACGGCAAGTTCTTCAGCTTCCAAGGCTCGTGCAAGTACCAGCTCGCCGCCGACTGCGTCAACCACAAGTTCTCCATCCGCGTGACCAACGACGCGCGCGCCACCAAGACGTCGTCCTGGACCAAGACGGTGTCCATCAAGGTGAGGCTGCAGACTGATTCCGAGAGTCGTTTTCGTCGCTCCGTGTCTCTCGCACTCATGGGACATCCGTACAGGTGCGAGAGAGACAGTCCGACAAAGACGACTCTCGGAATCGGTCTGCTGGCCGCTTGGTTTCAGCGGATTCGAACCCCGTCAACAGCGCCGAAAACCTAAACCCCGGTTTCCTTTCAGGTCGGCGCCGTCAAGGTGAACCTGGGCCAGCATCTCCGGGTCAAGGTGAACGGCGTCCGCATCACACCCCCGTTCCGGCTGGCGGGCACCTCCGGGCAGGGCGCGCAGGGCGCGGACGCCGGCGTGGACGCCAACAGCGAGGTGACGGTGGAGAAGCGCGAGGACACGGTGCTCGTCACCACGGGGGTGGGCGTCAAGGTCACGTGGGACGGCAACTCGTTCCTGGAGGTGTCCGTGCCCACCACGTTCAAGGGCCAGCTCTGCGGGCTCTGCGGCAACTACAACTCGGTGGCCCGCGACGACCTGACGACGCGTCGCGGCCGCCTCGTCGCCGACGTGGAGCGCTTCGCGGCGTCGTGGCGCGTGGGCGGGCGGCACGCGTGCGCGCGTCCCGGCCTGCTGGGCCTCGGCGGCGGCGTGGGCCCCGGCAGGCCGCACCAGGCCGGCGACGCGCCGCCCGCGTGTCTGCGGCTCAGCAGCACGCGCCGCATCCGCGACTACCGCCGATGCAAGCCGCTCATCGCGGAGGCCTTCTCGCCCTGCCACAAGAAGGTCAACGCCGAGATGTACTTCAAGTAAGTGTGAGTCGCCAGCCGAGGTGGTGGCGGTTCCGAGCGGGTCGCAGCGGGCCGGTGATAAGCCAAGGCAGCGATAGGCCACTGGCCGCCACTGGCCGCCGCCGGCCGAAACACGCGGTGCGCGACCCAGCGCCCCGCGGCCCGGCAGCCCCGGCAGCGAGGAATGATTTTTCCCGTTTTATCGGGAAGGCGAGATAGCGAGTGACGTCTTTGTGTTTTGCTCTTGTTGCAGGTCGTGCCTGCTGGACATGTGCGAGTGCCCGTCGGGTCGCTGCTACTGCGAGGCGTTCACGGCGTACGCGTACGAGTGCCGGCGCGCGGGGGCGGCGCTGCTGGACTGGCGGGCGGCGACGGGGTGCGTGGCGGGCTGGGCCGAGGAGGCCAGGGTGCCGCCGCCCTTCCCGCCTCGCGCACGCGGCGGCGGCCACCACGGAGGCCGGGGGCGCGGCGGTGGAGGCGGCGGTGGTGGCGGCGGACAGCGTGGCCGAGGTGGCGGCGGTGGTCAGCGGGGCAAACAACGCGGTGGCGGCAGCAGCGCCAACTTCCCCCGCGTGGCGCAGCTGCAGCACCTGACCGGCCTGGCGGGGCTGCGGCTACCCCAGCCCGGGGCGTCGCGGCCGCCGCCCCCCGGCTTGCATTGAATCTCTCTAGTCAGCCTTCCCCGCCACGCGCAGCGCGTATCGCGGAGCCAGGGCGCCCCGACCACCTCCGCGTAGACAGCTTGAGCACCGCCGGCCTGCTTCAGGACCTGCTTCAGGACCTCATGGCACATCGGCTTCACACGACTCGCCTTCAACTTTTCGGTGGCAATGGTGAGCACGTCGCAACCAAACGCTTCAATGTCCGCGCCAGTCGCCTGCATCCTTGTTTCCCTGTGCTAAACCACGCGTTTCTCGGCTTCCAGGAAGCTTGCAGTGAGGTCGCGGCGCTGGTGCCCTCCGCCGCGCCGGGCCGAGACTCTGGGCGTGGCGCGGTGCGTCTGGCGGCTGTCGGGCGTCGCGACGCCGTGCCACTGCCACTCTCTTTCCCGGACGGGCCGACGCGACGCGACGCGACGCGGCCACATTCTTGGCGTTCCGGCCATGCACGGCACACGTGCGGCGCGGCATGGCGCCTCCAAGAGCGCCAAGACCACCTGGCAGCCGGGCCTGACGGCCTGACCGGGCCCCGGGCCGCGCCGTACCGAAGCCGGCCCCCCGCGGAGATGGTCGTCGTCGTCCAGGCGCCTTGCCTTCCTATCCGGTCCGGCGGTCTTTGCACACGCGGGGTCGATGCGAGGAATGCCGTGGCCGTGCTAGGCCAAGCCCTCGGCCGGGCCGCTGTCGAGTCCTACCTGCCCTGCCTCCTGCACCACCTGCATCGGCACGGCCAGCCCCGGCCCTCGCCGCGCCGCGTCGCCACGCCGCACTGCGTCTCCATGGACAACCCGTTATGACGCAACCAGCCGCCCCGCCGCGCCCCGCCCAACTTGGCTTCGGAGTGTGGACGCGACGACGCGGCGCACCGCGGCCAGGCCTTTCGAACGCGGCTGTGCACGCCTGGAGCCTGGAGCAGTGTGGCGAGGCGACCCACCCTGCTTGCCGAAAGCCTGCCGCTTTCTGGCGCCAATCGCACGCCGCATCACACCGTCGCCACCCCGCGCGGGAGAGAGACTCCGCACAGAGCGCCTCGCGCGCGCGGGGTAGGGGCGCCTCAACTTTTTGCCTCTGGAGTCCTCTACTGATTCTCGAGATGGTTGCCAGCAATTTGCTTTGCACATTTAAGGGACACATGTTCTTCGGCAGGGAACGCACCGCACAGGCGTCGGAACTGCCGCTCCACTTCCTCAATGCATGTTTTCGTCACGGACTGTGTCAGACTGTGCTGTGGTGCCGTTCCCCTCCTATCGCTTGAGGAGTAATATGCAAATTTGCGCCACCAAAGCCATTTTCTGAGCGCCTCATTGGTGCCAATACTGAGTTGTATTTGTGAATGAATTGCAAACCTGAGTCATTAATGTTAATTATTGATAAATTTACACCGTACTATGTAAATCATAGCATCCCTTGTGTGAGACAAAGAGTATTATTAATATTAAGCATTTACATAATTTACTATTAGTCAGACATAGAAAACGTATACTGAATGGAATGTATGTAGTTTAGGCGTATGTGTTGAGTCATAAGTTTAGAGTAATTGGGATCATAGCACAGGTCAACTAGAAGGATGTCAGATTCAAAAAATAAACACAACATATCTGGTATCTTGTTTTTATTGGATAGGACTTGTGCTATGAGCTCCTGCTGAATCGCATTCAAGGATCTCGTTACCGCATTTTGAATTAGGATATTGGAAAAGTGTACATAGTTGTGGGCACTGTACATATTGTGTAAAGCTCGCTGTTTGTCATAAACCTAAATTGTTCCTATAGCATTATGAAAATGTGTGCCATTTGGTCTGAAAAAATGGACAGCCCTGATGCAAAATAAATTAATTACTCATCAAAAAATCAAATTTGAAGAATTAAAAATTGTCAATGTTTGAAATTCCAATAAACTAGTACAAAGACAGGAACTGGAGAATGCACACTTCAAAATATACCACTTGCTTCAAAAGGAAGGTATAATATATCCTACAGCTTAACATAACAAACCATTGGTGACATGTTATCACTGCATTCAGAAATTTCGTTACTAAGTACAAAAAAGTACCTGAACAAAATAAATTTTAAAAAAGGAGGGGGGGGGGCAACAGTAGCATGATGGAGATGCTGCACAACAGTTTGAATGAAAATCCTTGGCACATACATTTTTCCATGCTTGCTTGAACCTCCTTCTTCAGTTTCTGACATAAAAAAACAGTAGCTACAAAATCATTAAAACACTACAACTAAATAAAAAAGGGTATGATGTAACAAACATTCAATAGGACATCCTAAGAAGTACAACTTCTAATAATAAACGCTGAATAAATTAGAATACACTGAGATTGAAGACGAGTTATCAAGCATACACCTAAGTGAGTGCTTAGAGGGAAGTGATCAACATAGTATGATGAAACAGTAAACTTAAAATACTCCTTACATAGGTATGTTTACTCAAGGCTTTCTAGGGTTTCTTACAAAATAAACATAAATTTTAGTTTAACTAAGAAAGTTACACTTAGTGCTCCCATGTGTCACACAGTATGTATAACAATGACCATCAATAAAATGTGGCAACACATACCATCCTCTTGATCTTCTTCACATTATTTCCTGTAAGCAAACATAATGTTAAGGCAGAGTAAAAACACGGTTGAAAAGTAATTTGGTGAAACAAGAAAAGAAAGTGGCACCACAAATCAGCAACTTAGGCCAGCCGTGAAAGAATGAATGACACAGCACGCATCATATGATATAGAGGAACTGCCGAGAGAACGTGGTATCCGTCTCTCTCTCTCGCACTCACAGGCGGGATGGACCAAAAATCAAAGAACTACTCACTTGTGTTTTTTCGAGCTACCACGACGATCTCGGCTGTCATCTCTAGGACGTTTGCTGCTGCTGCTGCTGCTACTCTTCTTAGGGCTGTCAAAGAAGAAAAATAATTAGCAAATGTCATTTAGTGAAGCTAGGAAGGGACAAGTCTGCTATAAAATGATGCCACATCAAATCTTAAAAATCCTATCCAAACATGAATTGACCAACTAAATCAAATTACAGCTTTGAACTTTGAATGAAATAAAAATAGTGGAACAACATGAAAGCATGCACTTAGACAGAACTCAACAGTTACAGTGATAGAAAAAAGATAATGAAGGAAATGACCAGTAACTACATTCAATCTACCTGCTGTGTTTTGATGAACTTGATGATTTCCTGTCTTTGTCCCTGCTCGAAGAACTACAGACAAAATTACAGTGTCACAATTAGGAGAGTGTACAGGACATAACACAAACACCTGCCCAAGAAACTACCATGATACCACCTCAATATCTAATTCATACTCCAGACCAGGTAAGCTATTCCCATATGACAAAATGTTTACTTGAAATGGTTGGTGATAGTTTTTAGTGTACACAAAAAATGCACCTACCTGTGCTTGCTTGATTTATGGTGACTGCTCTTGTGCTTGGATGACGAGTGCCTGAAAATAATGAACATAAATAAGAGACAATATCAAAGAAATACAGAGTACCACATCTCAAGTTTATATCCTGCATTTACCTGTCTCTATCATTATGTTTAGATTTTTTATCTGGAGAGCGGTGGCTACCTCTATCAGAACCACCTTTTTTCTTCTTATCGTAGTCATCCCCATAACTTGTGCGTTCATTATCTTCCTCAGCAGCCTCCCTTTCAAGATCAGACCAATCTTTGCCAGATTCTTCAGAACTGCCAAGTTCTTCCTCTGCATTAAAATAAAAAAGTGATGTTAGAACTAGAGTTCTACCACTGTAAACCGCTGAAAATGCCAAACACAGTAACATTTCAACAAACCATCACTTTCTGAATCTTCAGAGGCTTCTGAATATTCGGAGTCATCATCAGACTCCTCCTCAGTTTCTGCATCTGTAGGCTGCGGGCAAGAGATAAAGAGTTAATAAACATGGGCAAGTTTGAAAAGACTGAGCTTGAAGAGTTTAAGACATACCTCATAAGCATCATCCTCAGACTCTTCCTCCTCTTCAGCAGCACCTGCTTCATCATCACTTTCCGGATCAAGGAAGGTCCATCCGCCACTTTCAAAGAAGCCATCCGGATCATCGGTGATTGTTTTCATAATTTTGGACCAGTTGAGTGATTGAATACCCTCAGAGTATCTGATATCGCAAGAGCTAGAAAAAGCAAAAGCAGTGTGTTAGAATATTCATTAACAACCATAAGAACACAATAGCAAGGTGAGAGTTAAATTAGTAAGGAACTGAACTTACTTGAGCCATTCCTTAACATGATCTAACATGTTCATGGGGATAGCATTGACCATAACAACCTTTTTAGTATAGTCCTTAAAGACGAAGATCATGTCGAAGTTTTTCAAATGGAATTGGACACGTTCAAAGTGAACAAGCTCAACATCTTCAAGAGTTACAACAAATGGAGGCTGTAAAAAGATACAAAATGTCAAAGCCACAATAAATTTAAAAGTGTTCTCAAGTGAGGAATGTCACAATTCTCACCCATTCTGTAAGGTTAACAAGGGATCCACTAGTCGGTTGTAGAAGAACTGTGCTTCTGAATGGAGCACCAGGGAATCCAAGTTCTCTGAAAGGTGTATCAAATTCAATTTCTTGCTTGGTAAGTGCTTCCACTTTCTCACAAAAACCCTTGAAAGCTGTCTTGAGTTTATGCCTAAGCTCTCGTTCAGCTTGTTCGGCAGCCAAATCATCTCTGTCATGCATGTGTTGGTGCTTCCCTAGATCAGTTGTGATCTCTCCCACCTCAGTATAGAACTGCACATCGAGATGTTTCTTTTTGCCAAACATAATGGCATGCTGGGGAAAGAAAAAAAAAAAAGAGTTTTCAATCAGTACACAATGTGTTTTGTTTTACACTTATTAAGCTGGCATTTATTTACCTTCAAATGGAAGTGCAACAAAATTATCATTTCACCATCGCATGGCTGGAATAACGCATTCTTAATATTGTTGTAAAGAATGTCAACTTTATCTCCACGAACAGATGTGAAACGGAATCCATTAGTGTGAGCCTCAAGAGAACCTGAAAAATAATGTACCAGTTAGAAATTACATTGAAATTCAGATGAGGAAGCTGGGTTTGAAAAACAGAAAGCAATTATTCATTTTAAGCTCCAGATGTCAACAAGCAATTACCTGTCATTCTCTTAGTCATAATATTTGGCCTAATGTAAAGATCTTTCAGTTTAGGATTGCCTTTGTTTGTAGTTAATACCAAGGTGTCTTGTTTAACAAGATCTTCCTTTTCTCTCTCTTCAGCCTCACGATTTTTGAATTTCTTTTGCACTTCCTTGATAAGTCTGAATGCCGTGTTCAAGTTTGAGGAGGGTGCTGAGAGTTCACCAGGTTCCTTTGTATTAATACTCCTGTAGGTACTGTAGACAGAGAAAGCACAACATAGAACATGACAACACTAACATATTGCAAAAATATTATTCAATAGCACAATGCCACTTGTGACCTACACTTCTTTAAGGAATGTAGCATCAGGTTGTGGGTAAGAGCCACCCTCATTGCGGCCCATGGTTGCACCAGGGTGGAAGAAATTAATACGCAGATAGGTGTAGTCACCTTCCACAGACTGGGATATGTTCTTGATTGTGCAAATGTGGAATGGAACAGGTATGCCAAAAACAGGCAAAATGACAGTCTCATATTTACGATCTGAAAAGAAAAAAATATAGAACAAATGAAGAAGAGATGCGGCTCTGCAAATACCCAAGACTTTGACAGGAAGGACCTCTTACCAACATAAATCTTCAATTCACGAACATCTGCCTCATTAGGCATTTGACTGCGGCTCTTGTATGATACAGTAGACTTCCGGACCTTTTCTTTTTCTTTACCCTCTCCCTGCTCGGCCATGCGAGCACGAGCTGCTTCATTCAGAGCCTGAGCCAACTCTTTCTGATGCTGCTTACGCTTTTCTTCCGATGAAGAGTCCGTCTAAACATGTGTTAAACCAAATTAGGAACACAATGAGAAAGCAAATACAGCAAACAGCAAAATACAAGTGCCAAGTTTTACTCACTCGAAGTTTAGAATCAAGGACTGCAGTTCTTCTTCCTCTACCCAAAATTTGGTCAGATTTGCCTGATTGCTCACCCTTCTCTCCTTCATTATCATCATCATCGTCGTCATCATCTTCATTTTCATCTTTCAAAAAGATTCCGACGTGATTAATTTTTTTCTTCAGGAGTGTCAAAATAGTTGCTGGTTGACCCTGTTCCAAAATCATACATTAAACAAACTTCCATACATTCTATGAACCACTGAGCAAATAAATGATTTTAATCAACTCACATCATTAACAATCACTGTGTCACCAATAAACAATGCGTAAGTTTTACCCTCCTTATCAGAAGCTTCTTTGTTGGTCAAACCAGATAGACCAACATTCACATTAAAGACTGAACCCTTTTTAACAACAGCTGTTGTTTTAGGTCCAATTGTGAGGGAACTTTCTCGAAATTCAATACCCATAGCAAAGCCAAACGTTTTGGTTAGTTTGTCAACAAATTCAGGCTTCTCCTTTTTGACAAATGAAAGTACGTTTTCATAAACATCAGAAAGTTTGGCTCCAGCTACTAAGGCTTTGAGAATTTCTTCTTCAACAGAAACAAGGAAATTATAGTTATTTTGCATGGATTCAGGTGGGTTCACCATGAAGGTACGAACAATATTTGAACAGTAGGACTTGTATCGGGCACCCAACGAGCACACAATCACACCAAAGTGAAGAATGTTCTTGTCACTGAAAAGTATAGAAGAGAGAGGATAATGTTAAAAATATAGTCAGATAGAATTTTGAAATGTCTGAAGCAAAGTTAGCAAAGATTGTACCTCGTCACACTGAATTTGAGAGCATAATTGCCACCAGATTGGATGATAGCAGGATAACAGGTGTCAACCTGGCTAGTATCCACCCCTGTCACATATTTTTTGTCAGTTAAGGCTTGATCTACTCCTTCAGCTAGCTTCATGTGTTTCACTTTCTACAAAAGATAAGGAAAAACAGACCACACAGAAACAAACCAAAATTAGACAGGTTTTGTACAGGATGAGAAACTACTCATTCGGATGGCAAGTAAACTTACTTTGTCAGAGTCAATAATTTCCATCAATTGGTCCTTCAGGTACTTGGTGAATACATCCATTGTAACATTACTGGCCTTTTTGACAATTGCTAATTCATTCTCCTCCTTGGGGGCCATAACGTAGGCCACTACAGGGCTTACATCAACCTGTATGCGTAAATCCACAAGATAGAAAGAAGGACCAAAAATTTAGATAAGATAAGACAGTTGTGCACTTACAGTTTCGAAGTTTTCTTTCTTTAGCATGCTGCGCCATAAGTCAGCAAAGGCACCAGGATAATTCTCCTTTCCAAAAACACCAATGGTCTTTCCATTCTTGCTCTTCTTGATTTCTTCAATGAGCTTTTTCATATGGCTCTTATCAACATCACCCTGAATAAAAGGATATCTAATGTTTCACAATCTTACATGAAAGTTACATAAAATAAAGAGATGAAGGAGAATGGTTACCTTTTCACGGGTAAGGAGCTTCACAGGTGGTACATTATTTTCATCCTTACTTGCTTCGATTTGACGCAAGAACTCAATCTTTTTCTTGCTGGACAGGAAATGAATAGCCTCTGATGTCAAAATCATAATGGTGTCTTTGAGTTCATAACCAAGCAGCCAAGTCTAAAACAAAAATTTGAAAACTTTTAATGCAGATGTAATTTTTTAACAAGAGAACCAGCTGGATATTAATCAAAAGATGTACATACTTGCAAAGCTGACGATTTGCTGTACATAATATCGTCGTTTTCACCAACTGCCGATACAAGGGCATCCATCTTCGAAAAGCCATCATCATTGCTTCCTTCGCTATCCTGCAATGAATGAACAACGTGGCTCCATGAAAATCCGTTCATGAATAAAAGACAAAATACTACAGGACAATGTATAATGGGAGTTACTGTGTGCAATGGAACAGAGACCAGAACAAGCCTAAAAATTATGGGTTGCTTAAGAGCAACTAGTGACTGGGAGACTAGAATGAGAAGACACAGACTCAAATATCTGGAGTGTCTCAGGTGCATGAGGAGGGGGAAACAGAGGATAAAACAATGGCTCAAAGATGCGACTAAGGTGAAGAAATCTGATATACTCGACTAAATGAAATGATAAAATGGGTCTCAGGTGACATGGAGTGGCTGAAGAACATAACCCGAAATGACGGAGAGAGCACAAAGACGCGAAAGCGGAGAGAGAAGATTGAACTAACTTGAAAGCACGAATTTAGAGGAGAAAGGGAATCGAAGAGGAAGAGTAAATCCTCACTAATTGCAAGCTTTTAGGCTTCAAACTAATAGCCTACCTTCCACGCCGAGTACAGCTTCCTCATGCGCCGGAAGAAAGTATCCTTGTCTAAAACTGTATTCGACATTTTGACAGCGGACGGTGGAAGGCTAGAGAAAAATTAGAAATCGGACACAGCTCCGATTCACTTCAAGAACAATACAGTCATTTCAATAGACGAATTCCCAAGATCTCACAGATCCGTTGCGCCACTGAATGTACAAAACAATAACATGGCGGGAATAGCGGTGCGGTGATCAGCAAGAGAAGACAAAGAAGAAGAAGAAAGACCAGAGTCTTTCCGCTCTTTAGTACAGTCACGCAAACTGATTGCAAATGTAAAAGAATTGGTTCGAGGAAGCAAATACACGCTAAAACGCAATTAAATTTGATGAATTCTAAAACATTCATACACGAAGGTTCCTTTTGCGAGGTCCTTTGGCAGTCCCCCTCCCTGTGGCGAGTTGCGACAAGTTGCGCGTGTGGCATCATCCATCGCAGTCGCAGTTTGCGTGCGAGACAACGTGGTTGGCGAGGCAAAGTGTTTTAACACTTTGGTGTGTTATTTCCCTGTGGTTTAAATGTTTGCACCAGCTTGTTCTGCTAGTGATTGTTTGAGATTAGAACGTCTCGTTTTCCCCAAGAGTGAACCGTTTTGGAGTCGTCATTGGACAGTCAGCACCAAGGTATGTTTGTTGTGAACCATGTGACATTTGAGATTTTGGACTTCATTTTCGGTCGTCTTTGATTCGTTTGCAACACTTTGCTTTATTTTATGGACTTATCATCAACACATATGCTGTTATCACAACAGACGTTTCCAGTTTTATCCTCTTTTTGGTACTTTTAAACTTGCTCTAACCTTCAAGAAATTTTCACATAAATTTGTTTTTAACTTTCTCTATTGTGTTTGGACTGAGTATTTCGACAGTGTGCATTAACTGACCTGACTGCTTATTTATTTATTATTTGGGGTCAACTTTTCAGTGGCTTTAAATTGAGTTTATATTTTTCTTGCCACCAGCTTCAACAATGTCGACGATCAAGGATCACAGGAGCTCCATTGGTGCACATATTGCACGTCGACAGTCCATAGCAAAAAAAGTCAGCTTTCAACTGCCTCGTAACTTGAAAGGTACTCTCCTGGATTTTACCAATGGTCTGGATCATCGACCATACCAAGACTTGGTATGCATTTTGCGTGATTCGGAAGTCAAGGTAATATTTGTTACATTTTCAGACGTTTTGTCCTATAACATATATTGTATTGTCTCAATAGCACTTCTCTTGTACTCTTATTTCGCATTGCCTTCTTATTCATTTTTATTTCCCTGTCTATAGGATGAGGACCTCTGCCTCCTCTTGAAAGAATCTCAGGACTGCATTTCTATTTTAAATCAAAATCTTCGGTTATTCATTCAGGTGTTGCTTGTAAGTTTCAGGACCCATAAAGGATGATTTCTATGATGGTAACATATCAATATTGTGCCCTTAAACTAATTTGGATGCATCTTTTCTGTGTGTTTAGATTGTTAAATGGACACACAGAGGACCAGAAGCTGTTTCAGCTTTCCAAAGTTTCCTCTTAGACTTGTGCTCAGCCCACAGCTACCACACTGTTGCAGTGCTGGATCACCTTGTTGAAAATTTCATGAGAGGTTATTTTCTTGCTTTTTTTTAAATAAAAAAATTATTTTATTGAAAGTATTTTAAATATACATATCTTAGTGAAGTGGCCTCAACAAAATTTTCTTTGCAGTTCCAGATCCTGATTCAGATTGGCCTGCTGGCGAACCGTCCCCTATGGAAGAACAAATTTTTCAAAATTCTCATCATGTTCTGAAGCAGTTACTGAAGATGGTCCCAATGTGAGTCTCCTCGTGCTGATATATCTACTGTATGTGGGTTTTCAACTGTTAGTGTTGTGTCTTATTGTCTTTCTTTGTGTTTTATCTTCAGGGCGGGTGAGCTACTCGTTTCATCTCTGGCAAAGTCTTTTCCATATAAAGGAAAAACAACTGCAATACATCGGTCTTATGTTTACAACATGCTGGAAATTTTAAAATACCAGCCCAAGTATCGACAAGACTTTCTTTCCTTGATTGTTTCTAAGTAAGTTACCTTCCTTTTTTTTTTCTGTGGTGTCCTTCCTTTTTCTTCTTCTTCTGTCCTCAAGGAGGTGTTGCTGAGTGACTTCCTAAATCAAGCAATTCATTACTTTACTTATGGAGCTATGTCACAGTCGCACACCAGAATTGTGTTATCATGGCATGTGACTTGTTATTACACCTTTATGTTCAACGACGTTTGCTAATCCTCAGGATGGTGGAGCTAGATGTAAATGCACCAAGAGCTGACATTGATTTGGCTGAAGATGAGGAGATGGATGTGGAGACTGAAGACATTTTCTCCATGGAGCAAAACTCTAAAATGAAGCATCCTGTAGCAAATACTCTAGATCATTTAATGTTGCAACTCTTCATATTTATCAAAAAGGAATGTACTGATCCTATTTCCAATGCAACAACTCTCGAGAGATGTTACTCAGTTTATAAAGAATTTCTTCAGGTTAGTTTTATTATTATGATTGAATTGTCTGGTTTGTATTCCAGTTCAATACAGATGTTGATGTTCTGTTTTGCAGATCTTTGAAAGGGTAATATTGCCAACTCACAACACTCACCATGTACAATACATCATGTGGTACATATGCAGCCTGAGGCCTAAGCTAGCAGAGGTGTTTGTTAAGTATCTATGGGCTCAAGCTCTAGGAGTCCACCTGCCCCCCATAAGAAGACAGTCAGCAATTGCATATATTGCTAGTTTTCTTGCCCGGTCCAATTATGTCAAGATTGAGTATGTATCAACAACTTGAAAGCCTGATTCTCATTTACTTATTTTTGTATTTTATCACTTACCTTTCTGTTAAATTTTGTGTCAAGGTTCCTCAAGGATGTATTGCAAGATATGGCTGACTGGATTCACGGCTACATTAATAATCAAGACGGACAGAAAGCCGTAGAAATAAGACTGCATTCAGTATTTTACAGTGTTTGTCAGGGATTATTTTATCTGATGTGTTTCAGACACAAGGAGTTGTTTAGAACAAAGCAGAGTATGTATTTTCAAAGCTAGCCTGTACTTCTGGTTTTGTGATATACCTTGCAGTCCAGGTACTAATTTTTCTTTCTTTCTGCAGATATGGTGTTTTTGAGGGGGTTGAACCTTACCAAAGTTGTCACTTGCAGTTTAAATCCTTTGAAAGTGTGTCTTCCCGAAGTAGTCAAAAAGTTTACAGCAATCACTCGTGCTTACCAGTTGGTGTATTGTAATTCTGTGGTTGAGCGTAACTCAAGAAGTGCTGTGCCTATAGTTCATACCAAAAACCATGTTATGCAGCCTGACCAACCAAGTAACTTGCTGGAGACCTTTTTCCCCTTTGACCCATACAGACTGCAACGGTAAGATTGAAATGAACGTTGGTATTCTCATGTAGGGTCTAAGTTTTAAATCCTATAACATTTTTTTCAATTTTGTTTAGGTCTTCCGCTTTTATTGCTCCTCACTACAGTGTTTACCAAGATGACATCCCCAATGAAGAAAACAACAAGAAGGCAGACAATGACGAAGATGACTTCCTCCATGAGTCCATGAGTGTCAGTTTTAATGACAAGAGATTCAGTTACAGTTCGTCACCAGGATTCTTACAAGAACATCCCCTGCATTCTGCCTCATCACCCCTCCTTAGGCAGTGCATCTGAAACCTTCCTGCTGCTCTGACCTGTTAATTCAAGGAACGGAACATGTATGAAATATGTTTGGTTCCAACATGCGATGATCAGAAAAAATGTGAGTCTTAGTTGCTGTTAGCAGGTATAGCTTACATTCTTGCCTGAATGTTTTATGGTTGCAGGTTGCTCTAAACCTGATTTCCTCCACATAAAGGAATAAATATGAACAGATGCAACCTACAATGGAGTTGGTTCAGTGCTGGTATGAGCATAGTTAGAATTGATGGAGGCTATACACGAGAAGAGGGATTTGTTGTATCTCTCTCTCTTTAATGTGTATTTCCTGTAAATTTTTAAGGCATTGATGAGATCTAATTAGATTAAGTTTTGAATTGGTGCCCAACTATAGCATACTGTTTGCTCACTTTGACTGTTATAAGTTTTGAAGATATTACTATTTTAAAGTTGTTAACAACATAACTGTGAGGGTGTATGGTGTTGAATGAACACTATTTACTAGTGTAAAGGCAGTTGTTTAATTCTGTGATGTTTATTGTTTGATTTTGTTAAGCTGTGTACAGATGTTTTAGCTTTTTTATCTGGTTGCCTTATCTGGGCCATAAGACCGTTTACTTTTGTTGCAAATTAGACAAATCCATTGAAATTGAATTGATTTTTTAAATATTTGATCTTTTCATGTTCCAGTTTAATTCTTGAGCTTTGCTCATTGTGGAAGTATGAACAAATACAATCTATAATGTACTTTTCGCATTGCTAGCTGTTTTGGCTGAGTCTAGTTGTGGATGTGTCCGAAGAAGTAAGATGTGCATGTATTGAATACACAATTGTGTCAGTGCTTTTTGAAATCTCACTTCTTTCTTCTTTAGTTTGCTCAGTCACTGGTAATCGTCATCATACTATCCTGCTTGTGAGTCCTTGATTTGATTTCCTTTTCATTTGTTATGATTATTTATTGGACGAAAATCAATTTGTTGTGTACATACTTCCTTCTTTCTTCTTCTTAGGAACTATAATTGAAGGGATATAATGGCATAATCGATTTCTTGAGACATTATGAAATCTTATTTTTGTTGTATGAACTGTGATAAGCTCCCATGAATGCAAGCAAAGAATTTGTGCTATAATGATATGTGACAAGTAGATTTTTTGTGTCCATACTTTGTACATTTGCTTTCATGTACAAGTATTTATTAAAGAAACTTCAGAAAAATTTCGTGTGACCTTACTTTTTAGACTCACTACTTATCTCCTAAATGGATAAGGGCTCAAGACATCATTTAAGCAGAGTTAAGACATTCATCTAGGGCAACAGTGGTTGAGTCATTCCCAATAAATAGGTTTCTTAATTTTCTTAGACTTTTATTTACATAATTCAAATTTATAATCTTTAATATTTTATTTTATTTTACATTGCTAAAACAAAAAGAAAAGTTGGCCTAAAACTATGGATAGACTAAAGGTAATGTAATTACTACCCGAGTAACCAAGCTCTGAGGCCTTTTTCACAGCTGAAAGGAATTGAGCTCTGCTTCAACATGACACGTCATGATTCAGGTTGACAGATCGTCCAATGGCCACCACACCGGCAGCCACAAACCCACCGCTGGTCCCATGCTCTAATAGCAGCTGTTCGAGTTCTACTGTGAAGTTGTGATTGAACCCCACACCTGTCACAAATACGTAAAAGGCTGTAAGCATATGAATTTTTAGTGTATAACACATTTGATGTTTTAGACTACAAATTACCTTGTACACTGCTTCAGAACTCTCGGATTTTTGCCAAGATAAATGTGTCTAGTTGTGTCCACAAACTGTTCTGATTTGTTGACACATTCAGGGTTAAGAAGTTCAGGAGAAAATTGCAGTACATCAGGCTCTGTTCCATATTCCAGCTGCATAAGAAGTTCCAAAAATGTCATTGAAACCACTAATAAAAACAACACATCTGAACACTTGTCCATTAAAAAATTCCAACTTAACAAACCTGTAGTGGAAATGACTGTTGGAAAAAGGCGGGGGATGCAATTACTCTGCAAGGAGCCAGAGAACTGAAAGCAGGGAGCATCACATGACTCGGCAACTGCAGGCATTCATCTGAAAACAAATCAAATCACAAATAAATGTTTGTCCCTTGTCATCAATGTCACAAATAAATAAGAAAACATGGACGGCTCATTACCAATCAGAGAGTCATCGGGCTGTTCAAGACTTTGAACCAGCTTCGAAAGTAATTTGAAAATATGGGCTAAAACATCCATTGAATCATGATTCTGGATAAAGACAGGCAAACAGGTTTTTCGGAGGAGTCCCCAAATGCGAATGATGACCAAGAGTTCTCGTAGAGTATTCAATGCCTTGTGATCACGCAGAATGTCATACTGAAAAGCAGTATCAAAATATATGATTTCAAGTTACATGAGATGGACTTGACTTTAAAAGAGTATTTATACCTATAGTTAGTCTCTTACCCCAGATGGTTTAATTCCACGAGGCAAACGAGCCAATAACGATAGTGCTAGATCTGCAACCCATTGAATGAGCTGCTGAAGTGATTGCAGAGTGCTTGGCTCCATTGTAAATTCTTTAGCTTCTATCAGCAAAAGCACTTTATCAACATCATCATATTGTGAATCTGAAACAACTGGACAAAAAGAAAGCAAGTATTCAGAAACAAATTTCTAAAGAACCATTGAAGCTACATAAATCAAAATGAAACTAACCAGCCAGACTCTCAGCAGGACCTTTTTCATGACTTGAGAGGTCAGAAGGCCGCAGCAAAGATTTGAAAGCTGTAGCTACTGATTGCAACATCATCAGGGCATTTAAATCTGCTGCTTTAGACTGGCAATTAAATGAGAGCCTACAAAATAAAAAACATTACGTAGTTAAAAAACATGAAACACACTCTTTCCACAAAAGAAATATTTTCTTTGATATTTAAAAAATGCTACTAGGTAATTTTATTCCATTTTATTATTTTATAAGAGATTCCTCAAATCATATCTTATGTAAGATTCTGACTCATGAAAAGAAAAAGAAAACTGCTAGTGTATGCTGCCAGAACTCAGCACAGTAAAGGTTTGCCAAATAGCAGGGTTTATGTGTAATATCAGAATGTTACATAACTTACGAATGATCCATAATTACCTGTACAAGGATGCCTTTATGCTTAGAAATTGTGCAGAGTGAAATTGTTGTACCGCTTGCTGTTGGCGATTGTAGCTTTCAGTAAATCTGTCACAAACTGCCTCCAGCATGGATGTGCGCAAACTGACCAGCAGATCCCACCAGTCCAGTCCACTAACCAGACAATATTCCAGCAAAGTGCAAGCATACGGCACAGTCATTGGAGCACCTTTAAAGATAAAACAAAAGAAATTACTAACAGCACAGATAGGAACATTTAAAGGCAATGTGATTTATCTGAATGCTCACCAGGTTCAGAAATTGGGAGAAGTCGGTACAAATACAGTTGTCCTTGAGTGTCAACAGCCACAGCAACGTTTCCCAACCAAGTTATATCCATATGAGAGACACAAATACCAAGCCTTGGCTGCTTTGGTTGACTCCAAGACATGTTATTAATGGATGCTGTGGCAACCTAGATTGAAGCAATTATTCCAGTTAAGTAGCCTTATTCACCAAAAGTTCATCTTACGCAAACTAGCAAATAGTCACCTGCTTTAGTCCGTCTTTATACAAACAACTGATTTTCCCATCCTCAAATGCTACCAGCACATAAGAGGGTGGTGGAACAGCAGTTGTAATTGATATCTTTGATACAGTGAGGCATGAGATCGATGAGGTGCTTTGACACTGAGAATGGTGCTGCCAAACCTATCACAACAAAATTTAACTTGTATCAATGCGTTTATTAATATTATAAAATTTGAATTATTTGGCTAGTGCAGAACCTACCACAGTTTTAGAATCAATAGGAAGATTTAATTTCTGTTGAAACATGGCATGAATTGTAACAGGTTTTTCTCTCAGCTCCCATATATCAATCTGAGATCCTTGGTCAGTGCTTGAGGCTACAACTAATGAATCAGCATCTTCACGAACCACAAACTTCAAGTGTGTTACAAACTTAGCTTGAGGAGGATTTGGTCCTGATTTAGAGCAACAAAAGAATTTAAATGAGACAATTTTCCAGTACTATTAGTTACTGCATTAGACTTGGATAATACAACTCACGCTGAGGTGTAGGAGTTTTGCCACTTTGAGGGAAAAAGCTGGGGAGGGCTTGAGACGTTACAACCAATTTGTCATCAGGTTTAGTAACACCTACTTGATAGCATAAGATGGGTAAATTAACATTACCACTACTTGCAGCAATCAAAAAGTGTCCATCTGAAAAAAGTAAATTGTTATTATGATAATTCTTGAAATGACCTTAAATTGCTTGATGGAAAGTGTGCAATCAGCTTACTCTTCCCAAAGCAAATGTCGACAGTAGTAATGCGATGCCTAATGGAACCCAGGCTTGCTGTTGCAGTAGTCACTCCGCCATGACCTCCTCTGTTGAGACCAACCACACCCACCATACCAGTACTAGTTATAACAATACAGCCCTCTACAGGCTTCCCACCAAACTGACGCACAGAAGCTGCAAAGCGCTGATGGCTAAACTTTTCATAGTAATGCATGTTATCTTTTCTCTCAGCAACCAAGCAGATCTGAAAATTTGAAAAATCAAATACCAGCAGTTAGGAAAGGTATCATGGATATATATATTAAAAAAATTTGGCCTCAGTCAATTTTTTAATTACCTTCTTGCCATTGTGAAAAAAAGCAGCAGCAACTATATTTTCTCCATGAAAGGTAGTAGTTCCTAAACATGTCCATTCATTCAAGAGATGATCTTTATTAGCCCAGATCTGCACATTTCCTGAAGCATCAGCAATAAGTAATTTAGAGCCAGGTATATCCCAGTCAATGGCTGTAATAAGTGCTTTGTTTGAGGTAATTCTGTAATAGAATCAAACACAGATTAAGAAGACAGTAGTGGAGAGGTACAGAGTAACATCAAGCGGCAGAATTGCATGAAATTGCATACTTGTGCACGTTCCAAGGGGTGTTGAGGTCAGCCACATACACATGAGAGCCCCATGTTTTCCCTGCAATATCATCTACCTCTAAATTTGTCACAAAAGCAATGACATTTTGACTAGATACATTGCAGATGCCATAGCCTTCGTATAAGCTGAAACAAACACACGTGGTTAAAATGGGGCAACTGAGGAATAAATAGACCACAGATATATAAAACTGTCAAAATTACCTCTCCAAATCATAGCTTTTCGAGCCACTTGCTGGCTGTTTTCTTGATACAGAGTAGAGCAAGTCCATCGTAGAGGCAAATAATACCACAAACAATTACATGGAAATTCTATCGCAGAACATAGACTGGAGGTCTGTGAACCTGTGATCAATAAAAGAAAGGTCATCATAAAACCAACAATACATCGGTAGGAACTTCAAATACAACTTTGCGATGCAATATTTACAAAAGTTGATTTAGGCAGACAGGTGAAAGTTAGGTTAGCAGTACCTGGAAAGGGACAACAGTTTCGAGGCACCGCTTCATTTTGCTCTCTGATGGCTATTGTAACTACATCACAACAAAAGAGAGCGTAAAGTAGCCGGAATTTAACTGATTTGAAACGATTTTCTCACATAAAGAGGAGAAAATCCTATATATTTGACAGATCAGTGTGAACTCAAATGAAAGCAAACGATGACCTGTGAATGGGGTGGGGGTAGGGATGGGGGGGTGTTGAAGGGGGAAGGGAGGAAGGACAGAGGGACCGAAAGGGACAAAAGTTTGCTTTGCAAGCAGCTTTGCAAGAGCAGACCCCTGTACGAGGCTTAGCGGGTGCCTTCCTTTGCAAACAACGGAGCTGGAATTCTAGTCTCGCGGACGGGTCCATCCCTCTATTTCAAAGATAAGTCGGTTGGAATGGTTAGTTGGCGGGCCGGGGGAGGTAGGTGAGAGGGGAAGGGGAAGGTGTCACTCGACTCCTCACTGACACACCACACACGCTCACAAGCACTCACACATACACATCAGTATTTATAGGTGAGCCAAACTTGGGCCGGGGCCAAGTTCGCGGGCTACAGGTGGCAGCAAAGTTGCACATTTGGCCGGGTAGGACCAATCGCATTGTATCGCGTCGAAGCATTAGGCAGGGGACTTCTTTTTGTGAGGACGGTGAGCATTCGGTCGGGAAAAGTGGGTGAGACAGAGCGCTGTGTGGGTAGGTGGAGACGCGCGTGTGTGTGGGCGGGGCGGAGCGGGGAATGCACGGACGTACCTGGCTGTGATTGAGTGGAAAGTGGTCCGACCAAATCGGTTTAGAACCACGTTAATCTGACGTCTTCGTGTTCGTTCTGCTCGGTTGATTCTCAGCGCTTAGAAGTTGACCGAGTTGAGGTTAGGTGCCGTCGCACTCCTATCTGTACCTGTCATGTTCTATTGTGGGAAGCATGTCCTCCCCTTTTATGACCGATGGCCTCGACGAGCCACACCTTGCATTGGAGATCGCTGCTGCCTTTATCAATGTTCTCTGGAACCGCTGCATTGGCGAGTCTCTGTCATGAAGATAATTTTCGGTTGGCTAGGGGCTAGGAATTTCATATTTTATTCATTTGCTTTGGCTGACTGTGTAGACCTTCTTGAATGGGGCCTTCTTCTCTACCTTAATCTCAATCATTTTTGTGGGTCTCGGCACCTTAATTTAATCATCTTATCAATGAAAATAGTTATGTCCTATTAATGTTTTTCGATTTGCTCACTGTGAAGCCTGTTGCTCATCGGTTTTACAGTCATGTGTAGATCTATTTTATCGTTGATTGGATGACTGTTCCGTCATATAGCAATTTTCAATTTGTTTCAGCAGGTGCAGGAAGTCTTTTAGACTGTGACAATGGCAGACCCAAGCTATGGCAGGACCACCACGGTCACCACCGAGACGATTGTGACATCGCCCAATATACGATTTGATCCCAGTTACATTCGAACTGTTCCGGGAATACTGAAAGCTGCTCAGATTGTAAGTCAATTTCTTATTATCAGCTGTAAGGTTGTCTTTTTAAAAATTAATTTTTTTTTCATTTTAACTAGATTTTGAATCTATTGGGATTTATCTGCATCACCGTCTCTCATTGGAGTGTGACATCTCGTGCTGGATGGTTCAACTTTGTGGCCATGACAGGGTTCTGGTTTACTGGAATACTGCTCGTTTTGTATCTATTCCATGTCATTGAAAAGTTTTTCAAGATTCCCTGGTTGAAATTGGTTTGTAAAATTTCTTTATGCTAAAACTCATTTTTTATTATTTTTTGACATTGAACATTTTTATTTTTTACACAACAATCTTCAAGGCTATAACTAAGAATTTATTTTGCAGGAATTTGGGTTCTGTGCCTTGTGGACCTTCTTCTACCTTCTCGCTGCATCATTGGCTGCTGGTTTTGCTTCTGTTGATGAGTCTTTCGGTGCTGGTGCAGTGAGTGTCTTTCTTGTTGCATATATCTATTTTTAAACTATAATTTTACACATCTTAATCCATAATTGTCTTTCTTTCTCTCTGTTTAGTTCTTCGGCTACTGTGCTATGGTTGCATATGCATATGATGCTTTCCTGAAATTCAAGGCATTCAAATCAGGACAGCTTGCTCAAGGAGAGAAGACCACCACCACGGAAACTGTTTCCCCCACTGCCTACTAACTGGTAGCCTAGCTTACTGCCACCAGTCAGTACAAAATATTTTCTCACAAACTTGCCTGTACCTAACTAAAACATCGAAACTATTTCTTTGATGGTTCACCATTGTTCTTAATATTTTTGTGACTACTTAATTTTTAATTATAGTGGCACGTACGGCCGCTATGTGTTGTTTTTTTATAATAATGGCTCATAAGGCAGCATGTATCTTGAATCAGAACTGTATTGTTTATTTTTCTACTGTGTTTGTAACTTGTTAAAAGTATCTCCCAATGAATGTGACTTCTTTTACTATAGACATTTGGGTGCAAATTGAAATTTTGATAAGATCTTATTTTTATGTGGATTATTAATTTTTGATTGATGGAAGTGTGATCTTGTTAGCTTGCACTCACTAAAGCTTACATTGGAGGTTCGCCTCTGTTACTCAAAGTAGGGTCATTGCCTTAAAGACTGCACTGTTACTGACAAAGTTTGTTGAATTAAGCACAATAAGATTTGGTTGCTTAAACACTTAATAATCAATTTTGTACATAATTGTAAGTTCCAAATGTCACATTTTGTCCAAAGTGGTGGGAGAATGTGACTCAGTTTAATGCATCTGAGTTGAGTAATAATATGGTTATTACAAAAGATGGCTTCTCTTAAATGCTAGTCTTGCTTTACACTTACAGACAAGAACATTAATTAAGGTTGCTGTATTGTAGTCTTAATTGTCCATCTATATGTTAAGATGTTGCTTGAATAAATGTGGTTTAAAAGACACGGACACAAGTTTTGAGTTATGAATGCTATGATGTTGCATGTTACCTGCCTTTTGAATTGTTTCCGATGCGTCTCTTCAGTGTTTCTAAAAAGAAAATGGTGTTTCAATGTTTTGGATTGTGACATTGCATATCGATCTTCAGCATATCTTAGGGTACATGTATTGTAATTTTTGACTGGTTTTCAATTGGACCATATTTGTTAAACCATACATTTTTTTACATGTGTTGTTGTTGTAAATCTCAATTATTGTGAGCATTGGATAATGTACTATTTTTCCTGTTGTTAACTCTTGACTAAAAGCTATTCTCATATTGACTGGTTTAATCAACCTTATTTGAACTTAAGTTTTGTATTGCTTAATTCATTGCAAGTTTTTTAGTTCTGTTAAAGAAACGACATAGGTTATAGAATTGTTGAATTCTCTGTTACACAACTATTTGTTTCTTTCATTTCCCTATGTCTTTGTGGACTTGATCCAAAAAGGGCAGCTTGTTTCGGAGGTTTTCTCTCAGTTGGTTTTTGTTTTAATTTGACTGACATTTGATCTTATCTGTGTATTGTAACTGTTTGCGTTGAATGAATTGTTGTCTTTTTACTCATGCTAGTGCTTGTTAATGCACCCTGAATCACTGTACTTCAAATTGGCAATTTCAAATAAGGAACTGCTTTGTTTCCAGTGTCTTTGTAGCCTGTGCACATACATTTGGTTTCGCATTTTCTCTTAATCTCATTTTATGGTATATGTCTCCTTTTTTGGTTACCAAATTCAAGTATTATTTAAAGTACTAAGAAAAAAAAAAGGTTTCCTTTGTGTTTACAAGATGCAATTGTGAACTGTTACTGTCTTGAAGAATGCCTCTGCTGTATTGAGAGAGAGTTGAGTGTACAATATGTATATAATGCAAGGAGATCTAAGCCTTAAGAGTTTGACATAAACTCTCGGCACTTTGGTTCATTCTCAATAATTTATTTAGTTTTAATCTAGCCTTTGCGTCCCAAAGGTGTCACTGCAGCTAAAGAAGGAAATACATTTTCCAAGCATCATGAGACTTGGTGGCTCTTGGTCTAACCTGTAATCATTTGTAATGGTCCCTCGTCCACTCTTTTGAAAAAAATAAAATCACTTTTTTTTCCATTTGTGTTGTTCTTACACCAGAAACCTCAACATTGGCAGATTTCATAAAAGCAGGTTGCCTAATAGGACAATCGGCCGGGCAAATTATTTTCGTTTTCCAGCAAACTTTGTGGCCTTCTTGACGGGCATACTGACGGAACCGCGCCTTCTGCTCGACGTGATTCAAGGGTTTGGCACTTCCCCCTCCCACGGACCCTCGGCTGCGACTCGGCGCCTGCCTGCTGTCTAGAGCCCTCTAGGCCCTCGAGCGGACGGGACGGGCCGGGCCGCCCTGTTCTGACGTTGATGTATAGAAACTTGTAGGTCGCACGGTAATGGGAAATTCTTATAATGCAAATTACTGGTGCGCGAGCTGGCGGCAGCCTTGCGGCGGCGGGCGGCAGCACTGCCTCTTGAGTCGGGGCTCCATTTATTTTGTTGTGCTTTTTCTCCTTTCGCCCGGGACCCGGCCCACCCCACGCGGCGCGCCGCAGCACCCATTTATAAAAGTTGCCCGCAATGTAGTGCCTCTCTCCTGATACGACGGTGATTTTGAAGGGCAGAAAGGGCGCCCTTTCAAACGGACAGAGTGTTGCAAAGAGGGGGCGCGCATTCAAGTAAATTAGGCCAACCAATACCCGCCGGCCTGCAGGATGTTTGGCACTCATAGAAGGGAAGGGAGGAGGGAAAAGTAGAGGCGACAGAATCCCCTTCCAACTCCCCGACTTAAATTTCAAACAAGTAGCAGGTTCGCTACGCTTTTTATTTTTTTTCTTTGGTTGGCACTTCTCCTTTGACCGATAAGCTCTTGCTGGGAGGGAAGCCCATTTCTCGACGGCCTGATTAAGTGGCCGGAAATGACGCTTACAAGTAAGTCCCCCTGGATCGGACTGGAGAGGCACATTTCTGGAGCGGTCTGGGTATTTACCCAGCCAGGCGCGCGGCGCGGTGTTGTCGGCAAAAGTGACGGTGAAGGCATGAGAGGGGCGGTGAGCGGGGTGCATGTCGACAGGAAGGTCTTTAATGGCATTTCGCCACGAAAAGAAAAAGAAAAAGGCGGAAGTGGCGTTATTGGACGGCCTGGCGAGGCCTGGAAGCCGAGGCCTGGCACGGGAGTTACATCAGTGACGGCCCAGTGCACCGAGGCGAGCCGGAGCCGGAGCCGAGCCGCACCGGAGCCGAGCCGCACCGGAGCCGAGCCGGGCCCAGTCCAGCCCGTGGGACGGCGACGATGCACGGTGCACGGTGGGCCAAGACCTCGGCCAAGACCGGTGGAGCGGCCAAAATTCGAGACGCGTTTTGAGCTCCAGAGTCGCTAAATGGGACTCGAACCGAACGTGTGACCCCACCAATGGATTCCTCGTTCGGAGAGGAATCCATTGGCGGGGTCACACGTTCGAGTCCCAATTAGCGACTCTGTAGCTCAAAACGCGTCTATAATTTTGGCCGCTCCACCGGTCGTCTGACCCACTGTGCGATGCCGTGCCGTGGCCAGGAACGCACCTACAGCCTCCTCATAAGTTGGGAGGGTTGAACTAACGAAAATTCGAGAACTGTGACCGTTATAGGGTTCAGGCCACTTTCAATAATTGGAAATTCGAATTCGACTCCCTACGTTTAGTCATGCTAAGCGTTTCCCTACTCACCCTTCGCGAGATGCTAACACCTGAATTGTCGTCAAACTGCTCCCTGGTCCTGAGAGGACGCTCCACAGTGGGCCAGAAGACTGGTCAGGGCGGCCAAAACTCTTGACGCGTTTTGAGCTCCAGAGTCGCTGAACAAGACTCAAACGGAAAGTGTGACCCCTTCAGTGAATACCTCGTTTGGAGAGCAATCCATTGGTGGGGTCACACGTTCGGTTTGTGTCTCAATTAGCGACTCTGGAGCTGAAAACGCGTCTAGAATTTGGGCCGCCTCCACCGGTCTTCTGGCCCACTGTGCGCTCGAGCCCTTCCCCCTCCCCCTCTCTCCGTCTCTCTCGCTCGGTCGCTAATTGCAGCCGAGCGACGAGGACGGAAGCGGCCGTTTCCTCCAGGACTCCAGCAGGAAGCAGCGCCGCCGGAGATCCGCTCACATAACGACGCGTCAGGGGGAATCCTTATTATCGGTGGCGGGAAAATAAGGAGAAAGTAAAAGGGACGGTTAAAATATGTCGCAGCGTCCGCGTCGAGGATGAAGAATGCCTTCCGATCGGAGAAATGAGCACTGTGAGAAAAAAGTACGGAAAAAGTACGGAACATGTCTGGTCAATAATTTGCCTGGAACGTCCGTACTTGCCAACTACGGAACGTTCTGTACTCTTTTTCCGTACCCATTTACATGGGTTCATATGGAACAAGTACGGAACGTTCCGTACTTTTCTCCGTACCTCCGTACTATATTTTTCTGTGCCATTTCCTTACAAAAGTACGAAATTTTTTACAGTGAGGAGGAACGGTCCTCGCTCGAGTCAGGCCAAGTCTGAATGCGTGCACTGGTTTCGTCGTTCTCTCTCGCACTTTTGCGGGACGTGTGCGCGCGAGAGACAGAGAGAAGAAGTCACTTGTTCGGAATGAGCTTACGGGGAGGCGGGAGCGCCGAGCATGTGTCGGGCCCGAAAATGGCATACGATCGTGTGTGGTCTAGCCCTTAATGGTAATGGTGCGGGTAGCCGATACCGACGCTCCGGCGCGCAGCGGGTGGCCTACCCTCGACTCGACGGGCGCACTGATGGTGCAGTGAGTCTGCACAGTGCTGCCACCAAAGTAGGCCAACATTCCTACGATGCCTCAGTGTCGAAAGGGTTGCCGTTCTCAGCCTATAGTTCAAGTTAGGGGTTCCAACTCGCAGGCATGAATTGGCTTTTAGGTCGGTAGCGCGGTCGGTAAAAAGGAGCACTACGTTGCACAGTGGCCCAGAAGACCGGCGGAGGCGGCCGAAACTCCAGACGCGTTTTGAGCTCCAGAGTCGCTAGACAAGCCTCGATCCGAGCGTGTGACCCCACCAATGATTCCTCGTTCGGAGAGCGATCCATTGGTGGGTCACACGTTCGGCTTGAGTCTCATTTAGCGACTCTGGAGCTCAAAACGCGTCTGGAGTTTTGGCCGCCTCCACCGTCTTCTGGTCACTGTGCGTTGGCGTCTTCAGGGCCCCCTCTGACAGGCTGAGCGTGTCGGCGGCGGCCAGGTCGTTGCCGTGCGGACTGTCACCCCACGACTGTCCAGAAAGACTGCGTAGGTGGCCAATACACTAGACGCGTTTGGAGCTCCAGAGTCACTAAACAGGTCTCGAACCGAATGTGTGACCCCACCAATGGATAGCTCTCCGAACGAGGAATCCATGGGGGCCGTTCGCACCCATTTAGCGACGCACGTTACTTTGTGACTTTGAAACTGAGCAAAAGCTCCAATGCAGATAATCGCATTTGTAAAAAGGCATGCAAAGGAAGTCTGACATTACCGTAGGTGCGTTTCGCTGGTCGCGCAGTATCTTAAGTCGCACAGATTTGCAACTTGATTGACAATTCCTCTGCTCAGGTCAGTATGCACCCTAAAAGGCAAAAAAGGATTCAAAGACCATGCTTGAGGGGGTTGCGCCCACACCTGAGTTAAGTCACAGCAGATCTTACTTTGACCTTTTGATATGGCTCGCCCAGTTCACGTTTAGCACGAAACCCCGCCAGGCGACCCCAGCCAGGACCCCTGATGGGACAGGGGACCCAGGTGAACCGCTGTCTACCTTGGTAATGGTGCGGGTAGGCAACCCGATGCAACCGACGCCCGGCGCGCAGCGGGGGCCTACCTCGACTCGACGGGCGCACTGAGTGCAGTGGTCTGCACAGTGCTCACCAAAGTAGGCCAACTTCCTACGATGCCTCAGTGTCGAGGGTTGCCGTTCTCAGCCTATAGTTCAAGTTAGGTTCCAACTCGCAGGCATGAATTGGCTTTAGGTCGGCGCGGGTAAAAAGGGAGAGCACTACGTTGCACGTGCGAAGACCGGCGAGGCGGCCGAAACTCCAGACGCGTTTTGAGCTCCAGAGTCGCTAGACAAGCCTCGATCCGAGCGTGTGACCCCACCAATGGATTCCTCGTTCGGAGAGCGATCCATTGGTGGGGTCACACGTTCGGCTTGAGTCTCATTTAGCGACTCTGGAGCTCAAAACGCGTCTGGAGTTTTGGCCGCCTCCACCGGTCTTCTGGTCCACTGTGCGTTGGCGTCTTCAGGGCCCCCTCTGACAGGCTTGTAGCGTGTCGGCGGCGGCCAGGTCGTTGCCGTGCGGACTGTCATCCCGCCACCGCACTGTGGGCCAGAATAAGACTGGCGTAGGTGGCCAATACACTAGACGCGTTTGGAGCTCCAGAGTCACTAAACAGGTCTCGAACCGAATGTGTGACCCCACCAATGGATAGCTCTCCGAACGAGGAATCCATTGGTGGGGTCACACGTTCGGTTCGAGTCCCATTTAGCGACTCTGAAGCTCAAAACGCGTCCGGGATTTTGACCGCCTCCACCGGTCTTCTGGCCAACTGAGGATCTCAGCGGTCCGTGCTCACGACGTGCATTGCCGTTTCGCCGCTTTTGGCACGGGCTGTCGTGGCTCGCGGCTCGCTGTTCGCGGTTCGCGCCCATCACCTCCGACAGGGCCTCCGACAGGGCCTCCGCCGCGGCCTCGCCGCCTCCGCGCCGCTGGAATGTCTTATTATCTCCACACACCCTACTCGG